ACCTCGCCAGGTTGGTGCCGTGGGCGCTGGAGGGGACGTGTCTCCGCGCCTGCCGGGGCGGACGTGCGTCAAGGAGGCCCAATCGTTCTCCCCGCTCGGCTGTGCTGCTCCCTGGGGATTCTCCGCCTCTGGCAGGGCAGCTCAGCCCTTTCCTGCTGCCACATAACCCTGGCTCCTTCCCCCTCAGGGTGACAGCCATGTGGGAGGACAGCAGTGGCCAGATGTTCCACGCACACTGGTTCTGCCCCGGCTCGGACACCGTCCTGGGAGCCACCTCCGACCCTCTGGAGCTCTTCTTGGTGGATGAGTGTGAGGATATGCAGCTCTCCTACATCCACGGCAAAGTCAAAGTGATCTACAAGGCGCCCTCGGAGAACTGGTCCATGGAGGTGGGTGACAGCCCAGAAAACCCCGGGCGCAGCGTGGGGAGCAGCACCGATCCCTGGGAATGCCTCTCTCCTAGCAGGGTGGGCTGGATATGGAGATCAAGATGGTGGAAGACGACGGGAGAACTTACTTCTACCAGATGTGGTACGACCAGGAATACGCTCGTTTCGAATCTCCCCCGAAAACACAACCCACGGAAGACAACAAATACAAGTGAGCGTGCGTGGGGCAGCGACTCCCGGGATCTGCTCTGCCCAAAACGGGCGGGAAGGAGCCTCTCCGCTCCCGACAGCACCGCAGCCGGCCTCGGCGGGGGTCCCCACGCTAAACCTTGTCCCTCTTTTCCAGGTTCTGCATGAGCTGCACGCGCTTGGATGAGGTCAGGCAGAAGGAGATACCCAAAGTGGCTGAGCTTCTGGAGGAAGGGGACGGGAAGATGTTCTACGCCATGGCAACCAAGAACGGGGTGCAGTACAGGGTGGGAGACGGCGTCTACCTCCTGCCGGAAGCCTTTTCCTTCAGGTGGGTGCTTGCTGTAAACGCTTCCCGGGATACTCTTTGGATGTAAAGGCTGGGGAGTGACTCCCACCTGCAGACGAAGCACCCATCACCCTCATTTCTCCAAGCTTAGCTTAAAAACAGGGATACCCCAACTTCCTTCCCTTTCTCCCCAGTATGAAACACGCCAGCCCGGCCAAGCGCCCCAAGAAGGAGGCGGTGGATGAGGAGCTGCACCCGGAGCACTACCGGAAGTACTCGGAATACATCAAGGGCAGCAACCTGGACGCCCCCGACCCTTACCGCGTGGGCCGCATCAAAGAGATCTTCTGCAACATCCGCAGCAACGGCAAACCCAACGAGGCCGACATCAAGCTGCGCATCTGCAAGTTTTACAGGTGAGCGGCGGCGCTGTCGGGGTCTGCGGGGGGTGTGGAGACCCCCACCCGGCCCCCTGAGCGAGCTGCAGGGCTTGGCCGAGGTATCCGGTGCTGGGAAAAGCTTTGCTACCTCGGGGTTGCGTGGGAGCAGCCGGGTTCGTCGAGCGTGGTCGATGCAGCCCTCCTCTCTCCGGGAAACCGGAGCGGGCACCAGCGGCTGAAGCAGGGTGTGGATGTTGCCGAAAACGATTCCCCGATCCAGGCGTTTTTTCCTTGCAGACCCGAGAACACGCACAAATCCATGAAAGCCAGTTACCATGCCGACATCAACCTCCTGTACTGGAGCGACGAGGAGACGACAGTCGACTTCTGCGCCGTGCAGGGCCGATGCACGGTGGTGTACGGGGAGGACCTGACGGAGAGCATCCAGGACTACTCTGCCGGCGGGCTTGACCGCTTCTACTTCTTGGAGGTGAGGGAATTGGGATGCCATCCAAAGGGGGGGACAGGTTGGAGAGGGGAGGCTGTGCAAACCACATGGAGTTCAACCAGGCCTTGTTCAAGGTCCTGCCAGTGGGTCAGGGC